AGTTGCGTACCTTGTGCAACTACTAGACGAATGATCGTTCCCGCAGTACATGCAATTCTTTTTCCATGGACCAGTAAAACTTTGCTTCTTGCTAGAAAAAGAGGAATCCTGGGGATGGGGACTTCTTGTCCGTGAATTGCAGAATCAATTCTTCATTGGTGAGAACTTCCTCGACAAGCTTGAAAAGGTGTTGCATGTAAATGCTGTTTCTGCAGTCTGTTCTTGCTTCTTCGAAATGACCTTTTGCTTTGTGGAGTCCGGAAACTTGGTGAGGACTTTCTTGATAAGCCATGAACTGCTCACGTCCTCTTGTTTTTCTTGCAATTGGACCACAGTCGTTCGAAGGTTCTCCAAAAGTGTGCGCTGATCTTTTATCGAGGGAGTGCGCAAAACACAGGAATCGAGCCTCTCAATATTATTGACCAGGGCTCACTTATTATTACACCAGATTGGTCCCCCGGCAACCACCGGGACCTCCTTACCTGCGTAAGCTTTACTCCTTCCAATGTGCTCCCATCCACTGGTGACATGGACACCTCGTGGAGGTGGCACGCATGCACAAAAAAGTGTCTTATATAGTAGAAGGCATTACCGTAATCGTGACATGACCTTAGAATGATATTAATTGGACCTCAGGTCTTTTGGCGGTTAGCTCCCCTCGCCCTTCTCCATCTTATCCTATTCCCTCTACTGCTCTCCAGCTGCTATTGCAGCATCATGTGGAATGAATGAGACCATGCTCAGTAGGTGTTTATATAGCCGTTGGGGTGTTATCACATTGATAGCACTGCAAAACATTGATTGCTAAAGTCATAGTTACTCGATTTTGTTAACGGTCTGTTTACTTCACGAGTTTCCCTACCACTTCATTTTGCGGACGGACACACATACATACATACATACACACATACAGATATACAAACCGACACACAAAGTTAGCGCTTTATAAAATAGAAGGATTTGTTTTGGAGGGAATTTATCGCCCTATAATGATCATTGGCCGTCACCTGGAACTTCTTGATAGACTCCCTAGCTCCACCCTTAAAAGTGTTAAGCAGATAGTTGAATTTGACCATTTCTGGAATATCTTGGCAGTGGATATTCGTCTGAAAAATCCCCCAAAAATTATCCCGTTCCCATATGTTTCCTTCGAATATAGGTATGGGGACGGGAGTTAGCTCACTGGCCTTCGTGCGTGGTTGGTTACCAGGCGGGGTGCTGACTGCACCATGTGGGGATGAAACAACTGGAGTAGAAGTGAAGCTCGAAGTTTTGCCTGCAGTATTACAGCGAAATGAAACGCCCCAGACAAGGTTGTGTCTCCTTTGATGGAATACGTATCGAATTCTTCCGCTTCTTCCCCCTGACAGAGGGCTTCGTCATCCATCGTTGAGGCAAACTCAAAAAGGGTTCTCTCCAGCTTCTTCGTTACGATCTCGATAGCTAAGATCGCTTCTTGAAGACGTTGCACGTTATCAAGATGTAGTTCTTGAGAGGCGCTGGAATCTAGCGGAATTTCATGAGCTCATCCTCTTTGTGGACCGAGATGATGTGGTCTAACTTGTTGCAATTAGTGGTCAAAAGCCGTTTATAGGTAACAACCTTCGATGCAATAGACAGTTTCCGATTCTCGAGCAGGGTGAATAACGGTCGAGGATTTCCTCGACCATAGCTCTCTACCATGCGAGAGTAGTGCCGAGAGTGAACATCCGCGCGGAGAGCACAGACGGCACGCCCATGGCGAGTGTGAATGTCCGCGCGAGAGATCGTCTCTGATCGGGCAGAGAATCCTCGACGTGCCGTTGAGGAATCCTCAAGCGATATTCACCCTGTTCTCGAGGGGTATTTTCTAATTAGTCTCGAAGAGGACTGTTCTTGAGGTCTTGAGAGAGACTAAGATCTTGATCTATTGAACGGAAGAGACGAGGTGAATTCCAAACTAACCTGGTCCTTTCCTCTTTTCTCAGCTTGAGGTAGGCTCTTGTCCTTAATGAGCCGATGCACCAGTTTTATGGTGTATGCTTCTTGACCCAGTTCTTGATCTTGCCTGTTCTTGCTCGCCCTTTCCGTGACACAAGCCACTGCCCAAGTCTCTGAATGTACAGGAATATATATTGGATCTTTCATTTTGAATCCCTTGAAGCTTGAAGACTGACGGTCTTGAGGATCTTGTCCAACGTCCAGTCTTGATCGTCTCCAACAGTAGGCAAGGTCTTGAGGGTCTTGACAGGCTCACGGTCTTGCACGGCACGGCACGAACTGACCCCATCCTTGGCTCGTCCCTCTTTTTATGCTGACGACGCTGGCTTCGAACCCTCGAGAATGTAAGCATACCTAAAGATAAAGCATTGAGAAGCACAATGTTGTGAGAATAGCTGAAAGATCTGCCATTAGATAGCAAAAACTTCTGTATAGCTGATGACTAATCCTATTTGCAAAAGAAAAGGCTTCTTACCATTTATGTACAGCGTTTAGCGACAGCTGCATCATTCGTCGCAATAATCCTGCCATCTATCAGTTTTGATCGCTGCCACGCAGTAAAAGCCGACTCTCAACAACTGAGGATTTGCAAACTTATGACGCGATTCAATCAAAAATGTGCAAGTTCTTGGAATAACGTTAGCAGCCAAAAGAAAGCGAATATCCGAGCTCTTCGATGAAATTCTGCCAGGCAGTCCTAGCCATACTATAGAATCAAACTCCCAGTGCAATGTATTGAAATAAGCGCGCTATAGCGCAGAAAACCAGAAAATGGGCCGCAGGGGCAGTGAAGTAAATAGTTTGCACAGTACAGAGATTGGAGCACACACTTTATTGCTAAGCTCACCCTAGTACATCCGTGGAGAAACTGAACCTTCCCCATTCCTGGGAAGGCTCTATGCGAAGGATAAGATATGTTATCACTCATTAGATCGGTGGTGATTCGTTTTATCGCTATTTATTTCTTATCTTCATATCGACAGCACGTTCTACCGTGTGCTCCATAGTTTTCCTTCATTATTCGACACTTCATAATAAAACGAAACACTTTCATTCAAGAGACAACAAATAATTAAAGATTAACCCTAATGCAAAAAGAGACTGAAAAAGAGGAGCGCTTAGCCGGGAATGTCGCGGTTATTCCGCGACATTACCGGCTAAGCGCTTTTTCAGTCTCAGAGGAATCTGAGATCGCGCTCCAACTCCTCAATTCGATCGGTCGCTTCAGCTAAGCTACGTCGCGCTATCGCTCTCCTCTCTACTATTTCTTCACTTTTTGGGGAGCTCATGTAAAGCGGAGTGATGTCCGTAATCCTGACAATGAAAGCATCGAATCCCTCTTTAGCAATACTCGAGGCGTTCTTCGCACCTTCCTCTGTCCTAAATCTTTCCACGGCAAACGAATACAGACCTTATCTCGGCACAGGAATCCGAATAATGACGACCGATAGATCGAAGGCACAACGCATGGGATGTCGCTTTATTCACGAATTGCTCCAACACCAAGCTGTCTGGGTAGACAAGTGAGATGCTTACGTAGCTCCTCGATAATCAGACGGAAATTAGTGCGCAACTGTTGTAGCTGCGGTATTTCACTTTGAACCTGCTGCCTCATACTTGCATTTTCTCGCCTGATACACTCTACAGGATCCTCATGTGATTGTTGCTCTACTTCAACCTCGTCTGCCTGTTGAAGTTTACTTCAACCTCGTCCGCCTGTTCAACTTCCTCTACTTCTTCGAGAAAGTCAACGTTGCCTTGGATAGCTTTCCTCTTTCAATTTTGCGTGCGAAGGCCCTCCGGCGTGGGCGCACGATGGTGATGCTGTTGTTCCGGAGGAACAGATCTTTCTTCAGAGTATGTATCATTACTCATGTGGTCCATGCGGAGGTTGACGGTGGGCTCGTCACTCTCATTCTGTTTCATGGCTTGCAGAATTGCGTTCATTGTCGCTATAGATTGGCGACAGCAGTGCTCATGTGTTGTTGGAAGTTGACGCTGATCTTGTCTATCTTCGTTCATGATGGAAGTATGCAAATCGATGACTGCCTTATGATAGCTATGAAGTTGGTTCAGTTGGTCTGCTGCTGCTCATCGATGTCGTCCTGACGGAGGAGTAGTGGATCACCGTGTTCGTTGTACTGTGGGCGTTCCATGCACGCTCTCCGTATGTCACTCGTGATGGTTCCCATGGCACTTAACAGAGCAGGGATGGCAAAAAGTGTGCGGAATTGAAATCGAATGAACATAATTCCGACGTGAGATTTTTCCACTGAAAGTTCCAGAAGCGATAGCTTATGAAGATGAGCTTCATAACTTTCATCAGAATGGCGCATGGTTATGGGTCGACTGTTTAACTCCGCGATAGCTGTGGTGCATGCGGAGAGCTCACGACAGCGATTGCCAATATTCCTATAGAGTTGTTCCAGATCAGAAATTGGTGGGAGCGCGTTCCGTAAATCCCTTAAATCTTTCACTTTGCTGTTCCAATCCTTGACGAAATAGGCGAGTTCCTTTTCCGCTGCAGGGTTCACGGCGCAACTGTTCCATTTATCGCAAGAAGAAATAGGAATGGAAACTGGTCTGAGCTTTTTTCCATGCGATATTGGATCAAGGCGCCGGCGCTTCTCGAGATTTTGATAACTTTTTCTTGAAAGTGAGCATCGAGGTTTTACGTGCAAACACGTAACCTATGAGGCGAAGTACAGTCCATATTCGACCGGTTGAGGGGGCGGTCCCACGGACGTACCAGCGCTGCGGCCGCGACAACGCGGGGATGGAAGGTTGCCGTATCCCAGTGATTGAGTGGTGTCTGAGCAATCCGTCCTGCCGTCTGCATTCCTCCGCATGCACACTATCTTAGCAGTACGAGCCTTTCCATCTGCGCTCTCGCCACTTTTCCGTCTGCGCTCTCGCCACGGTCGATCAATCGAAATTTATCAGCTGTTTTGATGTCTTCTGATTGATTTTATGTCCAACCATTGCCCAATTAGTAGCAATTATTCTTAGTTTGTGTTTTTTCTTTTTCCTATTTAATTA